AATCTGGGAAGATTCCATGTCTGTTTGTCCCGTGTGATAACATTGTTAATGTTGTAGCATCGTTTATATGTTAGTTCAAAAATCAGTCACATGAACTCTTCCCCCTTACCTTTTATATTATAGCAGTAGTTAACCCCCTTTTAGCTCACTTTTCTATAATCGAAGTGCATTTACTTGTTTCCTGATCACAATTTCATTTTAAATTCCAAAATCTTTGTTACTCGACCATATAATTACTAAGCTTATTTGGTTTTCTTAAGTAAATATTGAAGTGTTTAGCAAGTCCTTTATCCACAATGGGATATAAACCGTTCAACAATGGCTATCTAACAAAGAAAATATAACTTAGAATGAAGAGTATCATTCAAGTTTAATGCTTTTGGGAAAAAAGGACTAACAATATGCAAATTGAAGCTAAGCAAACAAAGAAACAAAATAAGCCAGAAAAGTAAGAGAAAACATAAATCAACTCTAAACAATGTACAACATCCAACTTGTTAAAACACACGCACAAAAAGATTTTTACTAACAAAACGGTAAAGCTTGCGACAAAATGGGTAATTTGGAGGCAAGGGTGTGTGGTGTACAAGTATCGGATTGTGCTGAAACTAAAGGTAACATGAAGCACAATGAGTGTAGAATACTTATGTGGGCTATCTGAAGTTCAAAACTTGTTTGGAGGGGCTGCAATCAAAAGAAAATTATGTGGTTGAAAAAATGATGCTCTCAGGTAAGGCAAATGGGTGCTGTAGCTGCTCCTCTTTCTTTTTGGTTCACCTACTTGACAAATTTATTCACGAGTAATATTAGAATATTAATTAATAAATAGTTATCAGGAAATTTACCAAAAAATATTTGTTTGGGGGCGAATATGATATACCCAAAGATATTTGCAAATCTGTCTAAATCAAAATATGGTAAGTTTTCTGCTTGGACACTTCTTCTTCAGTGGTAACTTCTTCTTCTCTAGATCTTGAATGGTATAAATCTTAGTATACCTAGAAATTTCTTTCAAATACCTTCAAATGGTATAAGATTTGACTATAATCAAGCAAAAGGTCAATAAGATATGAAAGATTGAAGTCGACGCTAGAATTTCTCGGATGTTGTAGGATTTTTCAGAAAATAGTGTTCACTAAAACGGCGAAAACTTTTTGACCATTAGAAAAAATTTATCATATTTAGTCTCTCTGGAAAGCTAACTAAAAAATCTTTCTAATAACACTTGTTTGATTTAATTTGGAGTTTTGAGCAAAAAGGTATAGATTTGCGAATTTGGGTCTCGATTTTTGAACCTCTACATGTTTCTCTCAAATTCTGGGGTTCGAAGAAATATTGATAACTTGGGCAATAAGGCTCGGTTTAAAGAATGAGTTTTATTTGCTGGAAAGCTTTTTTAATGGTGAATGAACTAAACAAAATTTCAAACACTTTAAAGTAACTTTCATAACCTAAACAGTTTATGCAAGAATGATAGACAATAAAAGGCACACTGAAGAAAAATAACAAGGCAATAAATTTTTTTGTATTTTTCGAATAAGAAAAATAAAGACAAGACAAAAAGTAAAATATATCTGATCTACAGCCTCAGCTCTAATACTAATTGATAAGCAACAACTCAAGCGTATAAACTTCCCAAACCTCTAGCCACTTGAATCCAATCATATAGTTTGTCTAGCCTGAAAGGGAAATGTTTGACGTATTACCTTTCAATCGATTACAAAGAACAGACAGAACACTCACTATGCTTAAGGCCGGAAATACTCCACAAGTTTGGTGACCAATCCAAGATAACTTAAAATGAAAGGTTTTGGATACTATACTAAGCTTAAATCACGGTTTTCGAGTTTAAAACGTTAGAAAACAGCACACATTTAGCTTCTTTTTACCCTTATGAACAAGGGAAATCACACCCCCAAACTTGGCTCTTTGCTTGTCCCCAAGCAAACTTAACAATTTATATCTCTTAAATCACATGCAACAATCATAAGCAACATCGAACATAATGATAGACTAGACTTGCTTTTTGTATAGTGTCTCAGGAAAGATCATCAAAACCTCATCGTCTTCCTATCTTCAAAAAGCCAAATTACCATAAGCCAACAAAGTTCAAAACAATAAAAAGTTTCTTAAAATCCTTTCCTTTTTCAAAACATGAAAACTTTTTGACAACACTCTAGAATTTGCACGCTTCCTTTTTCACTTAATTTTTAACACTGAAGGAGTGGCTACTAGCCTCTGTGGGGATTTCCTCCACAGCTTTGTAGAGACCTTTCAAGTAACAACTGGTCATAACATATCTACGGTGAGTTGCACGATATTACACTAGACCCAATTGCTACCCTCGAAGCTGCTTACGCCACTCGACCTAAGCTACAACGAGTGTCTACAGTGATAAAAATAAAGACATTTTCTTGCCACTCTTTTTTCTTACCTCTATTCTTTCTCTCTCACAATTTTGAAATCTTTTCCCCACTCTTATTTTCTCACAAGCAAAGAGGACTCTTTTATTTGTAAATTTGTTTTGTTTTTTTTTTCGACTCTTTCTTTTTTTCTTTTTCTTGCAAAGACTCTTTTTTATAAGCATTTTCTTTCTAGTGACTCTTTTTCGCAAAATAATAGCATGTTCTTTCATGAAAAAAAAAACAACATTTTCTTTCTAAAACCAAAAGACTGTCCCCCCCCAAATTTAAGAAAGACAGTGTCCTCACTGGGAAAAGATTTTGGAAGAGGCAATGCAAAAATCAAAATGAAAGAGGACAAGGACTTCATAAAACATTGAAAAAGTTTAAGTTTCAAAAAGAAGAAAAGAAAAGAAAGCATGTTATTGAAAAGAACTCGGTCACAAATGGCTAATGGCTTGTTAGGACAAAAAGAAAACAAAGTTCATCTAATCCTTAAGAATCATCATCGACAGGAAAATAAGAAAAGGCACACCAATAGGCTAAATGAGATTAAATTTGCAGCATGCTGTGTTTAAGAAATATACTTCACTAAGGCCAAGAACGAGATCATGATCGAAACAAAAAGAAACTAAATAGTCATATTTTCATAACAAAACTCAGAAAGAACCAGAAAAGCTCACAATAATATTCTGCAAAAAACCTAAACATGCAACTAAATTCAAAAATAATATTACAAGCATAAGAATAAAACTTCCCTCAAATGAAGAACCGGCCTCATGGATCAAACGGCCGCGTCTCAAGGTAGATGATGTGTCCCATCTCCTTTATTTTTCTTTTTTTTTTTGAAAAAAAAATTAGGGTTTAAGACTTTAGATGAATTAAACAAAAACCCATTTGGAAAAACAGACCAACAAAGATTCAAACAACTCAAAATCCCACCTTTTTTTTTATCTTTTAAGAAAGCTCTCTATTTTCTTTTAAGACCTCCTAAATGTGATTAAAAACGAAAAATGATCGCACCCTTCTTTATTCCAAGTCAAAACTAACTCCCAAAATTAAATCACAATTTTTCGAATTTTTGGATCGGGCCGAGGCGCCAGGTGCCTTGCCTAAAAAAAATTTCCGAATTGTCTAAAATTTAGCTCAAGTAATTAACCTCAGCCTAAATAACCTAACTACAATTAAAAATAAGGAAAACTACTCCGAATTAATTTACACAAAACCCTTCAAACGAAATTTCCAATTAAACAAGGAAGGGAAATTTTTTATTTTTATTTTTTCAAACTCTTAACTTCCTGAAAGATGGACAGAGGCCTTACCTCTATTTATTTCTTCTCCAAAATATTTTTTAACACGTTGGTCATTAACTTTAAAAATGTTACCTTTAAAATCTTCGAGTTCAATGGCATCGTGAGGGAAAATTTTTGAAATTTTAAATGGTCCAGACCACCTGGACTTTAGTTTTCCCGGAAATAATTTTAAACGAGAGTTCAAAAGTAAAACTAAGTCTCCTACTTGAAAAGATTTAGGCCTAAGTTTCTTATCATGCCATTGCTTAGTTTTTTCTTTAAAAATCTTTGCATTTTCGTAAGAAAAATTCCTATGCTCCTCAAGTTCCATCAGTTGGAGCTTCCTTGATTCTCCTGCAGAAAATAAATCAAAGTTTAGTCTTTTTGTCACCCAAAAAGCTTTATATTCTAACTCTAACGGTAAATGACAAGCTTTACCAAAAATCAACCTATATGGGAACATGCCGAGAGGAGTCTTGAATGCTGTCCTATATGCCCATAGAGAATCGTCCAGTTTTAAAGACCAGTCTTTTCTATTTAAATTGACAGTTTTTCTAAAATAGATTTAATTTCTCTATTAGACACCTCAGCTAACCCATTGGATTGGGGATGATAAGCTGTGGCTATCCGGTGACGGACATTATACTTAGACAACAAACTTCTTACCGCTCTATTCAAAAAATGAGTCCCCTCATCATTTATCAAACATCGAGGGGTTCCATAACCAGTGAAGATATGCTTTTGTAAAAATCGAACAACTACCCTAGCATCATTCGTAGGGGTAGCAACAGCTTCTATCCACTTGGACACATAATCAACAGCTAGTAAAATATAATTCTTACCATATGAAGGAGGGAACGGACCCATGAAATCAATACCCCATACATCAAAAATTTCAACTTCCATAATGGGGTTCAGAGGCATCTCATTATGTTTAGAAATATTACTTGTCCTCTGACACTTATCACAAACCTGAGCGAAGCTATGCGCATCACGGAATAGAGTGGGCCAGAAGAACCCGCTTTGTAATACCTTCGCTGCGGTCTTTTGTCCAGCGAAATGCCCTCCATATGGAGACATATGACAAGCCTCCAAAATTGCTTTTTGCTCTTCCTCCGCTACACACCTGCGAAGGATTCCGTCAGGATCAAGTTTATACAAAAAAGGCTCATCCCACCTATAATATCTCACATCATGAAGAAACTTTTTTACCTGCTGTCGACTGAATTCATGAGAAATAATAGGACTTACCAAGTAATTTGCAATGTCAGCATACCAAGGGACATTTTCAATGCGAAGTAATTGCTCATCTACGAATTGTTCTCGAATCTCTGCTTGACCTTCCTGAAGTGGGGACTCGAGCCTACACAAGTGGTCGGCTACTTGGTTCTCCGTTCCTTTACGGTCCCTTACTTCTATATCAAACTCTTGAAGTAGCAAAATCCATCGTATCAAACGTGGTTTTGCATCCTTCTTTGCAAATAAATACTTTAGACCAGAATGATCAGTATAAACAATTACTTTTGTCCCTATCATGTAAGACCTAAGCTTATCAAAAGCAAACACAACTGCTAACAATTCTTTTTTAGTAGTGGTGCAGTTTAGTTGTGCCCCCGTTAAAGTCTTACTTGCATAATATACTCGATGTAAAAACTTATTCCTTCTTTGACCTAACATGACCCCTAAAGCATAATCACTAGCATCATAAATAAGTTCAAAAGGTAACTCCCAGTTAGGTTCTATAATTATTGGAGCCGAGCTCAAAGCAGTTTTTAAAGTTTCAAAAGCTATCATGCAAGCATTATCAAATAAGAATAGTCTATCATTTTCCAAAAGTTGGCAAAGGGGTTTTGAAATCTTTGCAAAATCTTTTATAAAACGTCGATAGAAACCCCCATGGCCTAAAAAACTTCTTATTCCTTTAACATTTGTGGAAGGTGGTAATTTTGAAATAACATCAATTTTAGCACGATCCACCTCAATCCCATTTTTCGAAATCTTATGGCCTAGAACTATCCCTTCTCGTGCCATAAAATGGCACTTCTCCCAATTTAAAACAAGATTTGTGTGCTCACATCTTTGTAAAACATTTTCTAAATTCAATAAACAATTATCAAAAGAATTTCCAAAAACTGAAAAGTCATCCATAAAAACCTCAAGAATAT